GAAAAACTCTCGAGGCACTCTGGATTAATTCCAGAAATCCGAAAATGAACCGCAGGGAAGAATGCCTCATTATCACGCGTGATATAGGGCAATATATACAACTGCTTTTCTGATGTGAGAGCACAATATACTTCCACGTGATTTCTGTGCGGTTGGTCTCTACGTGACATACTTAGTGGAAACCTCATAGAAAGCGGTGAGTGTGCAAAGCTGTGTTCAAAGTGATTGAAATCTTGGTTTGGAGTTTCTTTGTTTGGTTATGGAGGCGTCTGGCCGAGTGGGTTGCTATCAACTTGACCTTTCCAGGCTCTGAAGAAGGCGAAATTCGCCGAAACGTCAGCTTAATCGTGAACAAAGAATAGTAACACCTCGCGTTTGCTCAACAAAAATACGAAGAAAATAACACGAATAGTTTTTTTAGCTTGTATCAAAGTTTTCTGAAATAAGCACCTATTGTCGGCCATGCTGGATGTGTTGCAGTATGATCGCCCCAGTTTTATTTTCTTGTTATTGAATTCCTTAGTGGTGGTGAATGTACGGCAATAATCGAATAATTGAAGAACCGAAGCGTATTCGGCACAATTTCTTAGTCTGTTGATAAGCAAGCTATAGTTTTCGGAAGGCTCTTCCTCAATTTCCCAGTCATTTGAAGAACAGAGTTCGCTCAGAAGGTTTTGGTCATAAACGATTTGCCTTCTTGTTTTCGAGTCATCACGAAAGTTCTTCTCCAAAAGGTGGCCTATAGTGACTAATTTTCTGACTACCGAGAATGCTTTGCAGTTGATCGAGTGACCGGTTTTCGCTGGTGTTCCGTTTGTGGTTTTGCAAGCTGGTTATCAGGTCTTAAGCACAGGTACTCACTAGTCCTTGTGGATGAGCAAGGGGAATGGGCGAGAGTATGGAAGGGGACAAAGAGGAAGGTGGTCTTGCTGCCGTAGGAACTCCTAATTTTAGTCGGCCTACTAAATTGTATTAGTTTGATGTTTCCGGTCTACAAAATTTGTTATGAAATAGAGCGAAAAACAGGTCTGCAACACCAACACTTTATGCGTTTTCGTGGAGGCGATGATCACTTGCTACAAAATTACTTCAGCACATAGAATATCGTCAAGCGACGCTTAAAATCTAAAAATTCTGAAAAAAATTCGGGCAAAATTCCGCACCAGACAAACGACATTGCTGGAAACAAATTTTTCCAGTGCAAAGATATTCCTAGATTATCTTATTGTACAGGTTTAGTGAATTAAAGAATGAACATAACTGCTTTAGCTGAAATGTATTAGCGTGTATATTTGTTTGAAAAAATGTCCTAGAGGTGCTGTCCAGCAGTTCTCTTTTTCGCGGAAGCTTTGCAGCAAGATGATCCAATCTCATAAGCGACGGTAGCAGGTGGTAGATTACTTCAGCACAACGCTGAATTTGAGTCGAATATCAAACTAGAACCCGAAATAAGTAATCCAATGCTTGCCGTCTTAGCAGAGGCTGCTGAGATTTTCTAATGTTTTGCATTCTAAACGTGTTTTTCAACGACACTCGCTCCCATACGACCGTTCAAAATGGGGTGCATAATAGAGCAAAACTTCAATACCGTACGATAAGTACAGCTGTGTCAACATAACTGTTGTGGCTCCTCAAATCTTTCGTCCTGAAAATACGCCGCTTCGGCATTTCCTATGCCATCGTCTTGACAAATATTTTGAAATATTTCTCTCATGTTTATCATGCTATAGGAAACTAGTTTTCCGTACAAATCCCCAATCCCCACTAAAATAACGTACTCTCAATGATAATTGAATATCAGCTCAGTTATAATAGAAGGCTTCATAAATCGGAATTAGTTTCGACCTATAATTCTCTTCGTTCTGATATGATCATCACAACAAATGATCATTGTGTAAGTTAAACAAAGTAAATTTGTTAAGCCTGATTGTCGGTTACATTGAAGTCAACGTAGAGTGACTATGATGTTAATCGGAAGAGCAAGGAATCGCTTGGCATTAAATCGGGGTTTCAAGCCTAGAAGTTAAAAATCTAGGTTTGAACGGGTAGTACATTACAACAATTTCATAGACAACCAAAATTCGCTAAAATAGTATTTTTCAGCGAAATTTTCTCAGTTATGAAGTGATTGTTCCATTTTTCAGGCTGACAAGGCTCAACATTAGTACGGCAGCTGAAAGAATGAATATAGGTTCCCCGGCTTTATCATATATAAAAACTTAGCACTTTAGCATAGCTTAATGACCATTATTTTTATTATTTTCTGTGTTTTTAGCTACTTACTTTACATAATCAAGGCGTTTGACTATTTTACTGAATTTTTCTGCTTTCTTTTATCGTTTATTTAATAGTGTGGCAGGGCATCGTTGTTCAGGCAATTGTGTTTTGCTTTCGGAATGACATAACTTTTGTTACCATCCTCACCGAAGACTTCAGTCTATTGAGCTTTTTTAGTAAATCTAAATAAGTAGATAAAAACACTGCTCCTGTTAAGCGATCGTCCACGAAACGAAGTAAGGAACTGTAAACATTTGTTGGTATGTAGAAAACCCTTGCTCTATCGTTCTATGGGTATGAGTATTGGTTATATTGCCATTTACTACATGCTATGGTCCATCGATAAACATTACTATCAGAATGTTTAACGTTTTGTTTTCTGCCTTCTATAATTTTCATGGCAGGTTACTAAGCGAAATACAACCACAACGTTGCTGAGATTGCGCTCCCCAGATCAACCCCGCTGACGGGTGATTGCTGTGGCAAAAAGATCGATAGAAATAGCTGAGAGACGTGCGAAACAAAGGACCCGCATGGTGTGGTGGTGAACGCGTTACTCCCCGGAAAGGATAATAGCGCGTTCGTTCCCCACCATAGACACCTGCGGTCCAGAGTTTTGCAAATATCTCAGCAACGTTGTGGTTGTATTACTATCAGAATTTGCAGGTGTTTTGTAGCCTATGAGCTCTTAAGTATTTTTTTATACCGGCAGACACTATACGGTAACTATCCTTAACTACAGCAATTACTGAAATACTTACGTATATGTATGGTGCAAACATACGTGTAATATTGAAATGCATAAATTCTTATATTTCGAAGTGCAGAAAAGAGCACCTCCAGACCAACGCTGAACACACCACCTGTTTTCCAAGCTATCAACTGTTATCAAAATATGCAGGAAAGTAATTCTATGTGTTGAAGTAAGACACCCCACAGAAAAGGAGACCTATAAGTGTGTAGATAAGATATAAGATGAGTCCTACCGGTTAATTGCATAAAACCATTATGACAACTAGAGGTCTTACTCGTCTCGCGAGCTAACAAAGACACCGTAAGCAGCACCCCGATCGATCACTCTGAACCACCAATGCCTATATGCTATCCAAGTTCTTGTATTTATAATAGAATATCAACACAGAACTTAGTGCGAAACCTTAAAATGACATGTGATAAGAAGTATCAAGAAAAAGTAGAGCACCGTCAGCATCAAAAATGAAAATTATTGAAAATAGACCAAAAAACCATAAAATAGTAACGGAGAATTAGTAATAATAATGGTAACAAAAGCAATAGTAATGTGGTAACAATAACGCCACTCATAGTCGGCCCTCTCTCCAATTAAACAACGACAAATTGTGGGGTGGAGGTGGCGGAGCGATTGAATTTTCCCAGTAAGACCAGCCAAGCCATAGAATGAGACATTGTCATTTCTAAACAATTTACGAAACGGAAGAGCCACTCAGCATGCGGAACGTTCGCCTACTCAATAAGCACGATAAAAATAAGAGGTCTGACAAAAAATTTACGCCCTTTGTCACTTTAGCAAAAGTAGACTACCCCAGCGGTGTACCGACCTAAAATATGATGTACTTTTGCCCAGCTTCCCAATGACTGACGACACTTCAAATTAATAGTTACAACACAATAATATTTTGAAAATTTGCAGAAGAACCTTGAAGTGAAAAAAAACCGATGTGCTCATTTACAGAGAAAGAGGCATCGGTGTTACAACTTTATGTCCTCTAATGATCAATTTCATTAACAGAGGCTCTGAATTAGATGGTGTTGTCAATATAATTAATATACAAAACACAAGATAAACGAAGGACGAGCCACCATACCAACAGTACTATTGTAGGCTTTTGTCAAAAGAAGGAAAGAACAACCTTCAAAAGGCCTACATTATTCGGATACTTGGACGGCTGCCCTCACTGGTTATGCCCGACCCATGATATTCACCATTTTTCGGAGTTTTTCTGGTTTAGCCGTTGTGTTTTCCTAGACTGCCGTGCTCAGCTTGGCCAAAGTCTGCTCCAGGTCGTCACCACCACAAGATGTTCCCGCACTTGTGAATCAGAGAGAGATTTGCCACCATGCGATTAGTCTGATATCAGGGCGGTGGTGGATCCTGGTATTGGTTTACCCTTAGATAGGCTTCCTGTTGAAAACGCCGGACTCCCTCTCAGCTTGGGAGACCCTAATGTGGGGATGAATCCCACGCTGTGAAACGCAGTCCAACATCCAGGAACACCTCGCAGCCACGATGAGGCGGTAAACCGTTGGGAGCGAAAGCCTATATTACGTGCCAGAAGTATGTACGGTTATACTTATACAGAAAAACTAACAAAACAAAAAAATTCTCGGTAAAGTGCGAATGATCCTCTGTTATGTCACATGGGCATTATATCTTCATTAGGCGGATTTTACAACAAAAACACGAATATAGGAACAAATAAGCTCTAGGCTATTTTCATCAAACTATTAACGAAATACTGCAACCCAAATAATCACAGAGAAATCAGCTGAAAAAAATGAGAGTCGCTGGAAAGTTATCGAAATATAGGACAAAGTCTGTACAACAACAAAGAGCCTTTTCGACATCTCGTGAGATAAGATTGACAATCACATCGCATCCATGAGGAAATGCACACAACCAGCGAATTTGTTTTTTTTGTCCATGCGTAACCAGCTACACATAAACTAATTTAAGATGAAAATTTTTATAAAATACCATTTGTGTAGTACTGAAAATTGTCATAGAGGCGAGTTGTTAATGAATCAAGGCTCTGTTCCACCAGATTTTCGACCTGAAGCATAGACGGGTAAATGGATACTAACAAAACCAAAGAGTTCCAATAGCATATAACGCTTTAGGACTAGGCTGCCTGAATTAAAGCCTCCAGCATCCAAATTCACACGTACTCGCTACACGCACTCATACACACATGTATACGCAGATGTACAAATACACCACTTTGCCATTGAATGTTAATAAAACAACAAATACTTTAACCAAAAAAGTCGACTGTCAAAGAAAAACTAGCTATTTTTTTTTAGGAATTTACCCAGTGAACAATAGCGATGACTCATCATTGTTGGTTGAGCATAAGGCGCATCGAAATCAACGCGTACCGTGTATGCCTCTCAGTTTTATACGATATGCATGATTCATCATGGTGTTCGAAAGAAAAAAAACAAACAGTTTTAAAAGAACAGTTGAATCACATTTGCTTGAAACATGAAGGTGGAAGACAAACTGAGCTTCATTTTGGATCGACTATTCACCGAGAGCTAAAACACTGATGACAATGAAAAATCTCGTTCTTATTGCAAAGTCCGAAAAGACAAAGATTCAAAAAAGAAGAAGGGAGGCTATAACAATGATTATGACGACAATTACGATGACAATCACTGGTGAGTAAATGGACAATATGTTGGTTCATAATCAAAAAACGACAGCTTTTTGGAATGGATCAAGAACTCCTGGTTGAATGCGCCGAAGCAGGACATTTTTAAAAATATTTGTGATCAACAAATATAGACAACGGAAGAACCAATTGTATGGATTGAAACTGGATTAGACGAAAATGTTAACTAGCCCGTGCTTTTATACAAGTAAACTGGGACATGGCTTCATATAAAAGCTAAAATGCTTGGGTTAATTTGTCGACAATGCGACATACGATGGACAAGACAAGACAGACTGTATGGGACTAGTCCAGTTCTCGAATTTTTCAGTAGAAATTGCAACATAATAGATAGGCCTGGTAAATACTAGTGTATACAAAGAGGTGAGTACTGACAAGTCCCTTGTGCCATTCAGAGGTAAAGTTCCACTTCTTTAGTATGTCCAACATGAAAGGTACAAATATTGGATAAAAGTTATTTGAATTTTGAGCAAAAGCAGGTATATATGCAGGATTATAATGCCTGCCCACTTTGGTCTGGATCCCTCCAGAACATAGATACACGAAACTCGATAACTAGAATGGGAGTGTTTCTTTAACTGAAAACTTGCTTCGAAGAAGAATCCGTCTAACTGACATGTGCAAAAAGGGTTCAGGAAACTCTTTAAGCAATTCCTCGTTTAAAAGCTGCACAGCGGACAACATCTCAAGAGAACAAGACCGGTATGATGTTTATAAGCTGAAGACTAATCATTTCTTGAAAGAAAGGTGGAGTGGCAAAAGAAAACGTAGAAACGCTGTACTGCTCGTTATGAAGAATTAACAATGTATCACTACTCCAGGTATACCAAGCAAATTACTCCTACATGCAGGAAACCAATGTAGAGAATATCCTTACTTAAAATGTTTCAGTAGTAACGAACAAATGCAACTTGTATGTTAGAAATGTAGACGATAAAGACGATGACGAAAGCAAGTCGACAATTTCCTATGAAACGAAAAGCAACTCACAGCATCAGCTTTTCCATATACCCAACCACATATGGGAAAGACTTCATGCAATATGCCTTGGTCATGCAACACTTGTTTCTCGTCGATTGATGAAAACAGTTGTTAACAGGCATGTGGCCGAATTCTTATCGCTGTGTGCAAACTGCACGAAAGAAGTGCAGATTGTGAAAACGCTAAATCGAGAATTTTTCCTTCTTTCGACAAGTGGCTCTAAGCATCAGGCCTTCTAGATTCTCAATCAGGAAATGCGAAGACTTCGTAAAAGATATCTCTAAGCGATTCCCATGTCCAGTGGTGAACTCCTCTCTTCAAGAGTACAAAGTCCTACGGAATAAACGCACGGTGGGTAGTATTCCACCAAAACGATTCTCTTCCTTATTATTTCCTATTTTAACGATGGAGAAAAAACAACAGCAGAGTCTTCTACGTGTGAAGATCATTTAGTTTCCTCTGAAGAAACCTTCTGAAAATTTAGCAAGAACGTGAACAAAAAATCCTTAAAACTTAACCCACAGGTGCATTCTCTACTGAAAACAAATGAGTGATTAAAACCGCTGAAGAATAAATGGGACGTCCTGGATTTCATTGCAACTATTAAAACAAATTTTCAAAAAAAAAACCTGCTTAGCAAGCCACCTATATGGATCATATGATCTGAAACTAAGAAATTTTTCGTCAGATACCATTGTAAATAACCGACTTATAGAACCACAATCCCATTCACATCTTAAAAAAATTGCGATAAACCTATCAAGATAAGCTTATGCCACGAACCAATCGTTGTAGCTCAATATCAGTACAGGTCATGTGAAATCGATCCCTAAGAGCACGCAACATAGCCGTACCACCTCGAAAACAAGGAAGGTAAGAACCTGAAAATCAAATAATAAAAGGATAAACGGCAACGCGTTCGACAATGATCAATCCCTTGGGAAAGCGCCATGCAGTCGATCTCATATTTGAGTTATACACATTAACAAGCGCTAGGCTACCAACGTAACAAGTTATTGTTTTTATTCTCTGAGACAAATGTTATGCAAATTTTCTTCAACCCCAAACGGATGGGAATCTTGGGAGCCATATGGGGTCAAACCAGTGTTTATTGCAAGGCACCTCTAACTATTGTGCTACATCTGTGGAAAAACCGACATGGAATAAATGTCATGGATGAAAACACCTAAAGTACTTACCTTTAGACATGATCTGCACTATTGTCATCACTCTCTCATGATGCTTTCTAGCTGCGATGATACCTCTCAGTAAAAGCGTTTTGAAGTAAATGTATAGGTCAGAATCAATGCCACCCATAACATCAACTAAACGACAGATCCTCATTTTTTTAAACTGAATCTTCCAGTTAAACTACACGTTGTAAAACACACTTAATTCCGAAGTGAGTTTAAACGGTGATGTCTCAAATCCAAGGTTGCGAGGGGAAATGGAGAGAATAAAACCGAAATCAATGTGGATCAAATGACCTTCTGCGTCAATTAGGATGTTTCCATTGTGCCTGCAAAAATTGGAATAGATCGATGCGGAATCAGAACTATGTTCAGCAAAGTTGTTACACAATAACAAAAGCAAACAGACAACAAAACCAGGCGGAGCAATTATATCAATCTGATAGAAATCTGTTATATTAAGAGTCTGTTTACTACCGTTCGTTTCCCCACTTTTCTCGAATCACTAAAAAAATTTACTAAACTCAATTAGTGAATACCTTCTTGGGATATTAAATAACACGAGGGTTCATAAAAAGATTTCTCCGGCTAAAGTTTCGACAGCTTCGTCTTCTCCAGAGAAATTCAGTAAAATGAAGTAGAACAAAATAAAAATTTTCAGAAAAATATCAGTTGGATAAGTTTCAACATGATTAATTAAAAATTTTCCCCACGCAGAGACTTTTGCATACCTTCTTAAAGATAAAAGGATAAAGGATAAAGCACTCGGCGTTGATCAATCCTTGAGGGATGCTCCATGCATTCGTCTTCATCAAACATCGTTTGCAGGTGAATGAATGCATATCTGGCCTTTACAGTGACTCGCGATGGTCTACCGATGTCTCGAGCCAGTACTTCTATCCTTCCAGACAAGTCTGGTACCTATTTGCCAACAGCGGAGGAGGGCTTGGTGGGCCATGGGCGCGAGGATCCATTTCACGTGTCTTGCACGGCGCCTCCGACCACTGCGCCACACGCGCCCTTCTTAAAGGTAAAGACTTATAAATTCGAAAATAGTATCCTATCTTAGACCAACTATGAATAGTCAACAGTCGACATAAGAAATAAAAAAACAAAAACAACCATTAACAAATATCTGGTAAGTGGTTATTTTCTCTTAGTACAAAATGTCTCATCTTTAGCACAAAGAAGGCTGGTTACAGGCTAATTTACGAGTGCCAGCACCCAAGATTCTGAAGATCTCAGAATAAATTCCATGGCTTCCATCATCGACATTCATAAATGTTTTGTACTACGCAAAGCAAATTTTGCGAGGCTTTAGCATGAAGTCTAACTAAATAAGTACAGATCGTATGATCGTACAATTAAGCTAAAAGCACACCGGACCATACCCTGTGCCCTATTCAACGCTCTGTTGAAACCTAACATACTGCTACCTCGTGACAGCTTGCCTGTTTCTATATCTACCCATATAAGAACAAGGTCCATTAGTACTTTCACTTGAATATGGGTCCATTGCTTTGCAATGATCGGCGTCTTCCCAGTTAATAGCTATAAATTCCTTATGTTTCAGCGTTGTAGGGATAATGCGCAAGTATGTCTAGATGAAGCGCTAGCCAACACGTCGACAGTGCGTACCCGGTGTTCTTCGAATGTCAGCGCTTAAGTCCTCAATAACGAATTTCTAGAAGCCTTCTACAATTACATCCTATAACTCTAGGAAGAATGCATCACACTAAATCATCAACTGTAGTTATTGTGAAATAGTAATTGATGATGTTTATGAGTTTGTGATAGGTGATCTAGAAGCATAGTTCCCAGAAAAGGACGTAGAATTCCATATAATCTGATGTACCAGACGAACGATTAAGTAGTGACAGGGTAAGCACCACTAAAAAATTCTGCTAATACTGATACATGCACTCTACCAATGAGGAAAGTTTTGTCATTTACGTGTAACTACTCGCTTTTGAACATCTCTTAATAACTCGAAAGACCGACTTGCTATAAACCTCGGCATAGAAAGTTGATATATTTATTTATGTGATCTTATAAACTGATCTTCTTAAGCTGACGCGAGGTTGGTACAAATCTTCGTTGTCGTTGTCGCTGTTTTTGATGTTATTGATCGATGGCTGACGTTTCGGCGACTTCGTCTACCTCAGAGCCTGGACGTATTTTATTTTAGAATATTTTTATTATTCGGTGGAAAAAGTTAAAGTATTAATGAAGATCAAACTTTCAAATAGACGCCATATTGAAAAGAAAGGCCACTCACCGTGATGTTATGTGTGGAACTGGCCTACACGTAGTTCACGTGGAGTCACGACCAAGACAAACCCCGGGGTCAAAATATCATTTTGAAATAGGGCACCAGGTCACGCGTGATAGTGAGGCATTCGTCCTTCCGGTTCATCTTTGGATTTTTGAAATTTATCCAAAACGCCTCAAGATTTTTGCGCGTTGATGTTTTTGATTCCTGCGCTAGGATCCGCACATTCACTTCAAAATCATCGCCGTTGTGCTTTTGTGCCCTATGCGTACCTAGGGGGGTGTTTAAACGGATTTTAGCTTTTCCATATAGAAATTAAATCTGTTAGACTTTCTATTAGTGATAAAGGCGGAGAATTTGTAGTTATTCCTAGTCAGTTGGATATTAGGATAACAGAGACCTCAATGATATTTCTCTCTATCGTACATCCTCTGAAAAGGAATACAGAAATCAATACCGAAAATTGAATCAAGAATGGGTCAGCACGGCAAAGGCCGCGGGTTTAGAGCCTTCAGTTATTTCTCGACTTAAGAACGAACACTCGATTTGCCCTGTCCTTTACTTGCTTATTAAAATACATAAGCTTACATCAACTGATGATATTACGGCAACGAACCCATCATCATATAAAGTTAGACCTATCATCAGTTGTATAGGTGGACTAACGGATAGAATAAAGTGGTTCCTAAACCTTATCCTCACCCAGCTGCTAAAATTCATACCAACCCATCTACCTAACACCAAAATATTTCTAGATCACCTAAGGAGCGCGCAACCAAACAGCACGCATGTAATGGAGTCATTCGATGTTAAGCCACTTTATACCAACGTGTCCAATGACTCCGCAATACAAGCCATTCTCGAGTTGCTCGTAGAGCATAAAAAGAAAATAAAAATGCACTGCTTGTCGATTGCGCAACTAATGACCCTCTTAAAACAGTGTCTTAGTTATTCAATCTTTAGGTGGTCTGGAAAATATTTTGCACAAATTAGAGGGTTGGCGATGGGGCAGCGTTTAGCACCAAGCCTTGCCATCGCTTTCATGTCTAAGGTGGAAGCTCCAGTTCTCGATCACCGACCCTTACTCTACTGTCGATTCATAGACGACTGCTTCATCGTCTGATCCACATAAGAAAAGATGGATGAGTGCTTCGAATTATTAAACCGACAGTCAGAGTATATAAAATTTACTCGAGAAAAACCTACCGAGAACTGGCTTCCATTCTTAAACATCCAAATAAAGCTCTCAGTAAGTGGCTATTTAACAAAATGGTATCGCAAACCAAGTAGTAAAAATATTCTACTTCACTGCCTCTCCTCTCATCACTCACACGTGAAAAAGCACTTGTCAAAAATATGTACCGTACGGCTAAAAATGTGTGTACAGGAAAAGAGGAGAACAAGGAGTCGCAGAAACCTAGCACGAAAAATTGCCACTTCCAATGGCTATGAAGTAGAAGCCACTCGGGTTAGAGGAAAACGTTGGGTAGTTTGCCAAAATAATATTTCAGACGAAAGTAGGATCCCCTTTAAGCTGCCCTTCATATCAAATGAAGTAAGTCACGCCATTAAAAAGTGCTTAAGAAAAAGTGGTTTTGAAAATTATGTAACGATTGTTGACATCCCACCCAATACCCTACGCCGCCAGTTAGTTCGAAACCGTCTCTGTGATCGTTTGTGCAGCTCAGAAAACTGTATGATCTGTCCTAACGGGAGAGACGGAGATTGCGTGAGTTTAGGTATAATATACTTGAACTCATGTAATGCATGCGGCGAGGAATATATCGGGGAAACGGGTAGACCACTTTGTGTCCGCATAAAAGAACATCTAGATGGGAAAGCTAAAATCCGTTTAAACACCCCTCTAGGTACGCATAGGGCACAAAAGCACAACGGCGATGATTTTGAAGTGAATGTGCGGATCCTAGAGCAGGAATCAAAAACATCAACGCGCAAAACTCTTGAGGCGTTTTGGATAAATTTCAAAAAACCAAAGATGAACCGGAAAGACGAATGCCTCACTATCACGCGTGACCTGGCGCCCTATTTCAAAATGATATTTTGACCCCGGGGTGTGTCTTGGTGGCGACCCCACGTGAACTACGTGTAGGCCAGTCCCACACATAACATCGCGGTGAGTGGCCTTTCTTTTCAATATGGCGTCTATTTGAAAGTTCGATCTTCATTAACACTTTAAACTACTTTTCCACCGAATAATAAGTATTCTAACATAAAGTACATCCAGGCTCTGAGGAAGACGAAGTCGCTGAAACGTCAGCCATCGATCAATAACATCAAAAACAACGACAACGAAGATCTGTACCAACCTCGCGTCAGCTTAAGAAGATCAGTTTATAGGATCACATAAATAAATATTCGCTTTTGATTGCTGCACATAGGTAAATAATTATGTACAGTTTGATGTGTACCATAACATTGAGAACAGATTAACGGTTGCCGCTTGCGTCAACGATTCTTATGTTGTATTTACTAAACAAACAAATTCGCCATAAAAATCACTGGCGCGGCAATACTATAAGTAACCGTACCGACTACAAGAAGTTTTAAAAAACAAGCAAATGGAGAATGAATAACTAGGATAAAAGATTATATTGTGGTAAAAATAGAGCACCTCACCTGTCCTTTACCTGCAGAAAGTAACAAACAAGTGAATATGCGGCACAACTGTGGACAAAATTTTGTTGTGCTCTGAAAACAAAATTGTACCGAATAGGTTAAAACGTGGAAATTTGCGTCACTTACTTCAAATAAGTCGAGGAGCTCTTAGGACCAAATGATTCAATAAAGTGCATTTCTAGAGATGGTTCCATGGTTTTTCCTTCCGCTCGAAATACGGCACACTGATTACGTTTGATCTAAAAGAAGTAGCTTTTACTTATACTTACATACTTACTTTGTGTTCTCACAAAAATACACCTATGCGGAGAGCTTAAAAACTGATAAAGTACTCTTCTAGGCGCACACTGGACACAAAAGCACGACGGTGATGATTTTAAAGCCGAACTTCGTTTTCGCATTCCGAAGTTTTGGGCAAGCATGAGAAGTCTAAAAATCAAAAGAGTGCACATCTCTCTATCACACGTGACTTCGTCCGTGTTTTACGCCAATTTTCGGTCTGAGTGCATTTGTTTCATCACCCAATGTGAACAACGTACGGGTGACACCACTTAAAAAAAGGAAAAAAGGAGAAGCAAGAATGGTGGGCGCTTTTTAACACACTAGGGCTACGTTTATACATTCAGCTTTCATTCACACTGCAGATTTCAAGAAATTAGAGCAATTACATGGATCTCCCTCACACAGGCACCCAGATTAGGAAAAGAACGAGAAGAGTGGGGGGTCCACTGAGTTTATCACAACAATTGAGATCAGTCCTTGTAACCCATAACTCCAGAACTCTCGCAGCATACCATAGTAAACCAAAGGTTTTGCCTAGCCGATGTCGCTGCTGTTCCAAAACTCTGCATGGGACCAGACCATTGCCTCTTTGGTGCAAGATTTCATTTCCTACGGAAAGGGTAAAATGTGCTAGATTCAAAAACGAGGACCCAAAAGCAAAATAAACTACGATTTACTCTGTTCATTAGCTGGCTGATGGGAACCCAGCATCATCACGTTAGCGCTATGGAAGCTGACCGTTCGAAAGCCACCAAGAGACGTCTGTCTCCGATAACACTCCAGTTGATAGGACTGGGTGGAATCGCGCCAGCTGTAAGCGTCCGCTAACTCATGTCCGAACTTGCAAAACAATGCAGAAAAGCGATAAAAGATCTTAAAGAGAGAAGAGTAGCAGTTAGGGTCGAAGCTGCAGAGCGTGGGTAAACCATTTGAAAAGCCCATCGAAGCTTTGAAATTACAAAATAAAGATGACTGTATCCCAACACCTAGAAGGAACAGTTACAATTTCCAAAAAGATAATGGAGAGAATTATTCGCGAATACTATTCGGATCTTTTCAGTACGTACGCTCTCTTGCTCTCATTTGAAATAATGGATGATGGATATGTCACACCGGTTCTTTCATCCAAAATTCGACGTTCGATGTCATCGGTGAAGAAGTGAACACCTGGTACGGACAGGATAGGACCTGAACACTTGAAGGACGTTTCGCCACTCCTAATAAGTACAGTGGTTTGGTTCTTCACAGTTGCTCGTCAGAAGGCACTCAGTGAAAGGCGAGCAAGACTGTTTTTATTCAAGAAGGGTGACCTCCAAGATATCGGCAACTGCCGCTCGATCTAGTTACTGTCTGTTGTCTGAACTCTTCATTAGAATCATCCTAAAGAGGACTGGGAGAACACTGGACGAAGAAGAGCCATGTGAACAAGCAGAGTATCGAAAAGTATTCAGTACGATGGACCATAACCATATGATGTCAAGATTTAATGAAGTACCGCGAAATTACAAGAAACCGCTGTCTTACTTTCACCTGCTTAAAGAAAGTTTTCAACTCAACTGAGACAGAAGCAGTCATGGAAGCTCAATCACGTCGTCCCTGTTCAGTAAACATTTACATAAAAAGAGCTAAGCAAAGCGATACAATCTCGCCAAAATTACTTACTACCACCTTATAGAACGTCATGCGAACATTTGAATGGAATAACATCGGAGTGAAAATCGATGCTAGGCAATTACACCACCTTTGCTTTGCTGATGGCATCGTTCTTACAGCACTTATCATTAACTCCGCGGAACGAATGCTTACCGAGTTTCATAACGCAAGATTGATCTTCGATTAAATATCACAAAATATTTTAGTTAAAAACGGATTAGTTTCATATGCCCCACTCACCCATTGCTCTAGCTATGTCCACCTAGGTCGGGAAATCAATATCACGAACAACTTAGCTCCAGAGTTAAGCAGGAAGAAGAGAGCGGTTTTAAGATCTTTCAACAGCATCTAGGGATAGAGGTGAGGAAGAAGAACGCCGAACTCCGCGCCCACCTTTCCAATTCCACGATTCTTACTACCTCAGCGCAACGTATGTCTCAAAAACCTGGTCGCTGCATAACCAGGATGATAGATCACTCAGCGTTATAGAACATGCAGCTGAAAGGACGATGCTAGTATTATCCCGTGTTACGCAAGTGAGGAAAGGGATCCGAAGCTCTTACCTGTGTTAACGATGAACATAGTGTGGGTTGGACACGTAATGTGTATGAACTACAACCAATGGAGAAGAACCTTTACCCCTGGATTCCTCGGGATGTCAAACGCACAACAAGAAGACCACCGATTCGATAGTAAGAGTTCTTGATGAAAACCTTGGAAGAAAAGTACGATGCTTAACGAGTTCATAGAGCGAGTAGAACCCAATAGCTACTCATGCGCACGACAAGAAACGGAAGGTTTACTGCAACCCGCTCGAGTTATATGACGATAAATGGGACGACAGGTGAACAGGAGCAAGTCATAAATATAAGTAATAAGTAGAAATGATAAGGATAAACCTTTACAATAAATAAGTCTAAGCTTTAATAAAGGAGGAACCGCCCAAAACGTTAGTCATTGAACATCACAAAAGATGATGGCAACATCAAGTGGATTCGGCAAGGAAAGTTTAGGATGACGTAAGTTGAATACTATTAGTCTTCGAGTTAGCATCTTGACGGGTAACAAACTACGCCCCTGTATCAGGTCCGAGATAGCCTAAACATGGTCGGAAGCAGGATTCCAAAAATCATTAAAAAAGCTATATTGGCACCATAAAAGGGAAATGGATGACGTAAAATACGTATGATTATGGCGTGATTATGGTTATAATGTCAACTTCAAAAGAAACTAGCAATAAATGAAGTGTATTTAAAAAAACATAGTGAACATGCAGGTAACAACACAGATACCTGGTGTAAAGAGCATGCATCTACAATGGGTTCGATCATTCCTGAATTCGGAGAAGTAACGACAATTTTATAAGGCCGCAGGAATAATGGAACCTCTTCTTCCTCCCAGATTTCCTGGAAGAAACTTCTATGGTTCCAGCAAAATTTGAATGCGACAAAATGCTACCTTCAATGTCACTAATAATTGATAAGCGAGAAGCTCTTGCATAAGATCGTCACCGCTTTTTACGATTACAGGAAAAAGATCCCAACCACTTAATCCGCCATAAGGGCTCGCCTGCAAAATTCACCTGTCTTACATAAACAATCGAACAGAACACAAATTTAGTTCAAATATAAACTTGGCGAATGCGCTCCTTCTTCTCATCCCATGGTTCACTCATCGTTGACGCAGAGGGATCATCCGGATGATGAAGCATCTATGATAATAGCATATTACAACGAAAACGCTCTGGGCGCCTCTCTACTTTTTAAGACTTGGACACGTGTTTTCTTCCCAAAACAGCGTGATTAAGACTACATCTTAGTAATTTAAAACGGCGACTTTACAACGCAAACAGTAATTGAAGAAAACGAATGTACCACTAGATATCGAAGACGATTTAAAAAAATCAACTACGACAACTAAGAATATGCAAAGGAAAGTAAATAGATACCTGTCTTTTACGACCAGGTCTCTTCACCCATTTCTTAAGTCGATGACTAATCCCAGATGTCCCTCGGTAAACTGGGCATGATACACAACTGTCCAGGGACTTGGTATCCCAGAGAAACTTCGTATTATCAACTGACATATCAACGGTCTAGAGGAAGTAAAGAATGAAAGAAATACCAAGTAACATTAACTAAGACAAAAACCTGAGTTGGCAAATCCATGGTCGAAACACCAAAAGATGAAGTTTTTACATTGGTCATATCAGGATTCGTAAATGAACTCTCCACCGATGCAAAAGACGAACTCCTTAATATACAAGAGATAGATGAAAAATATGAAAAAAAGCAAAAACACGATGGTAATCTTAAATGGCAAACTGAGTATTGGAACAAGCAGAAGTAGCCACATTAGTGAGACTAAAACAGTTCTTCAACACCTAGAGTTCTACATGAGTTGATTTTCGCTCATACGTGGAGGTAGATCGATCGGCGTACATTGATTTCAATTTACAGTGCGCTTGGTAAAAACTAGGTGTCGATTAGATTCGGTGATCGTATAAAAATAAGCGTTAGACTCTAACTATTAGATAAAATTTCGCTACCAATGAATAAAAATGACGAGTGGTACCGTAGTCTCGTGTGAAGATTTCCTTCTCCAAATGTTGGACGTTTCGGTAAAGGAATCTTTCGTACGTCAACAGATTGCAAAACTTCGACAAAAATACAATATGGAGCCTGCAACAGTCACTCAAAAAGACCAAAACGACAAATAGTTCTTGAGTTCAGGAACTCACCTTATCTTTACTGTTCAATACACAACCATTTGTTGGAGGAATGTTGAGAACTATATGGTTTTCTGATAATGGAATCCAGACACGAGCTGGCAAGTGCATGTTCAGAACGAGGAGCTCACTTACGAGACGACGAGTCTAAACTGCCTCAAGATTGAAGTAAATGCCTCTGGCCAAATTTCAACTGTTATATGCTTAACATTGTTCGAACTTCGTCCTAATTATTAATGCGCAGTTCAGTTAATGAATGATAGCTTTAAAACCTCAAAACATCCTCTGATTGTGTCTTTTACGATGATGGACGAATGTTATAACAGATCGCAGTCGTTTGATCACGATCTTTGAGCCAGTGGCACCCAGTGGAATGCAAAACACAAAGTTCAAGACCAATGATGACCAGCAACCTGTTGAACTTACAAGAGGGATAGTGTAGAGTGCTGTCATGTTCTTTTGGACAGACATTAGTCGGGAAATTCCTTTCGCAAAATGTGAACCGCTGAATTGTGATAGAATAGGTAAGATATGAACATGACAACAAATCGCGACCAATTACTGAAAGTAAAAAGTTAAATGTAATCATGGTAAGACTCAAAGAAAAGTCAGTAAGGTGCTGGTTCTTCATGAAAACAGGACATCGGATATTCCAAGCCCACTGAATGCGAATCGGTCCATGGAAAATGGATGCTCTATGTCCATTATCTGCAGGCTCTTGGATATAGTCATCTTGCTCATTAATAATCCGCAATCTCTTTTCTGACCAGGTTTGTGACTATTTCCTTCTTTGAAAAAGATAAAAGGATGTACCACGAGAAGTGCACAGCTCCATGTATCGAATAGCTGGTAGATGTCACTCTATGTCACAGTCATATATGAATCAAGTAAAAATATTATGATCTCCTTTAGTATATCAGACCTCCGCACTATCGTCAAAGTATTGCTAGCATAAAATTTTGCATGTATATCACAAGGAAATATCGATTCGAATTCAAAAACGACACTACTCGAAATAAAGCATTGTAATGACACCATTGTGGTAACACTAATCCCCCAGCGCCAGCAGTGCACAGCCTCATCGTGGCTGTTCATCCCCCAGCAAAGTGTCCCACGCTGAAAAGAAGTACGTCGTTTCCATTAGGAAGTCCAGCTAAGAGTAAATCAATACCAAGATCCACCACTCTCTTCATACCAAACTAGTCGCATGGTGGCAAATCTCCCTGTGATCGACAAGGGCGGGGCGACCGGAGTGCCTGTGGTGATGACGACCTGAGGCAGACTTTGGCCAGGCTGACCTCGGCACTCCGGAAAAACACAGTAGTTAAACCAGCAAAACCCGAAAAATCCCGAAAAACGGAGATTATACTGGGGCCCACACAACCAGTGAGAATTGGACGCATTCCGCACTGGCGCCGTTTTTCCTGGTTCGCACAACCAAATACGAGCAATTCTTCGTCGACCGCAGATTTTCTGGTTTTTTTCACAACAAAAAATCTTTCTTCAGTAACTAGAAAACTTGAGAGCTTTCGAACATGAGAGGATTTTAGAAGAGGCTTTGCTCTATCGTTCTCTGAGTACGAATGACATCTATGCTACTTTTTTACTATGTGTTACTACGGTCGACTTTAGAAATACATTACTGTCGGCATTTGGAAGTGTTTTGCAGTTCAAGTAGAGTCTATTTCGGTAATTTCAAAACCACGCATCCTATACAATAACCATACCGATTAAAATGAACCAAAAAATAAGTGCTTAATCAAATTACCGATCAATGAACTTTTCGAAAAAAGGTTTCCTGCAAATCACTAAGTGTACAGAATGGTTTTCGTCCCATTTTGATCTGCGTTCGATTAGTTATCATGAATATACAAAGTGCGGTAAGAAAAACTCTGGGACTCAGTAAACCGAATAGGGACACTATGCTAACACGGGTGTTTGGTCCAAACCACCGCGCTTACAAGTCTCCATACGGAGCGGCATGGGCTAAACAAACGTTATTAAAACAACCTTTTCTTCCTTCGTTGCCTCTTCTCTTAAATTGTCACCAATGCGAGTCAGCCAACTAACAAAGTTCTTTTGGGCTTCCAGATGATGAGCCTGAACACGATTAATTGACATATACAGCAGAGAAAATTCGGCACAACGCACTCTGCCACCTACAAAACGAAACTTGTAAACTATAATCGATTATAAAATAAGTAAAAAAAAACTTTCGACGTTAGAAATATGTCAACTTGATCCTATAATGTAACGAATCAAAAAATAGTTATCCAAGCGATTCAAAATTTTTAATGGAAGGAAAAGGGAGGCGCGTAGCCCAGTAATTAAAGGCCCTCCGCAACACGCACGTGGTTGTTGGCTCAATCTTTCGCCGCACCCCCCTCTAGCCCTCAGCCTCCAAAGGTCGGTAAGTTGGTACTAAACTTATTTGGGAGAATAAAAGCAATGATCTAATAGAATAGTAGGCCATCGTAACTTATTGCGTAGGTTCTAAATACATTCTGTCACCTCTATAGCTGCTTGTTGATGTTGAATTCATAGAGCATTCTTCAGAGATGGGCCAATGCCGAGTCCTTTATACCTTTCTATTCTTATTTTCCTCATGATTGCTTTCATAAACAATACTCAGCGATTCAAACGAATTCGAAAGATTGCATTGATATCGTCCAGAAGTTGAAAGAACCAATAATATTTCGAGTTAGAAACAAAGAATTCCGATAATTTCCTTCGTTGAGTGCGCAGGTAGCGCCGTGGTACTGATACCGACCATTACGTGCACGGTGGTGGGTCGATCTGGCTCCGGGCTCATCAAGGTTCTCATCCGTCCGGGGACCAGATACCAGTACCATGCCTACATCTGGGTAACTTTACCTTCTGCAATACAAGTAGAAACGCTCTAACCCGGCTATTTCGCGACTCCAGGCAAAATAGACTTGACCAACATTAAAAGAGGTTAAAAAAGAACGGGAAATCCTCAAACAGTAGTCGAACCCACTCCTGAAGGGCTCGAGGATCTTCATTTATGATGGATGCGAAGAAATGGATCGAATGCAAGAAGTGCTGAGATTCGAACAATAACTTTGAAAACAGAAATTTTAAAGCGTTACGGTCCAGCTTAAATGAAACTTTGTTAGAAGTATAAAGCATAAAGCCTTCGTTTATCAGTTCCTGAAGGATGTGCCACGCATTCGATTTCATTAAGCATCGTTTGGAGGTGATTAAATGCATATCTGGCCTTTACAATGACCCGCAGTGGCCTACCGATGTAGCGAAACGAAAATTTATTAGTTGAAATGAAAGCAGAATGCACATGTTCTTAGCAAAAATTTAAGGTAAACGATTCCGAAATTCAAGAAACAACGAATTCTTTGGAGACATTTTCAGAAACCTTTTGTTGTTTGATATTTTTTCAGTAAGTAATTATCGAGGATGTGAAAAAATGGTGATTCATAAAATATCTGATGAGTATTATAGATTAGACAGAGCATCACAGCCCAATTCGCTCGGCTTCTATAACGCCAGCAAACAAATTTGCTTGAGCGTTGTAGCAAGATAGGAGTACACACCTTACTCTGATCAAATCTTAATATTTGGCAATTTCTGATGTGTTCTATAGATTTTGGGACTGTGCCTCCTTTCTAAATGTCGCTAATATCTAAAAAGTTATGGTATATTGGCGCATATTCGGACGAACCATCAAACAGTCAACATTCTCCCGGTGAAAACTAGTTTTCGTGGGGTCTGTATGAGTTCCATCACAATCTAAGCACCGTGCAAAAAACATGGGTTGTCGTATAACTACAAGGATGATGAAATATGAGCAAAATTAGGAACGTTAGGTGCGCTTCGAACCGGCGATTACCCTATCCGAGGCAATGAAGAAAGAATAGGCAGTAAATAAAAGTTAAAACACAGTGATTTCGATTGTAGTTCTAGCTTAACTGGGTTCAATGTAGACCTGTGCTCCCCGGATCATTCCCTTTGACTGCTAATTGCCGATAACACCGTTAGAGTAAAAACCTGGCTGAGAGGACGGGAAAGGAAGCGCCTGGATTGGTGATGTGGATTAAACATGAGCCGCCGAAAAGGGTAATCGCGGGTTCGAAGCACAGCTGATGCTCCCAGTTTCGTTCCTACTTAAGCAACACCAGTCACATAAAACCATATCACGAAAAAAGAATGGGTCGTCGCATAGTTTCGCATTTTTATCGAATATCGCAAAGTCATAGTGAAATTCGTCGCTTCTATTGTATAAGAAAAGGGCAAAACCGACTTGGTAGCAATGATCTCTTTGCTCTTGACTTAATTAATGTGGTACTAATTGATCTTTTGAGCCTTTCCAGTTTATTGTAAAAAACTCCTTGTTGCGCAACTTCACAGCTCCTTTTGAAAGGAAAGAGTTCTTCCATAATCCCTCCTCCACTATTTTCTTGAGAGATACCTACGTGAAAGCGCAAGACTTCCGTTCATCACGATCCACATCTCCATCATAAACTTTCCGCATTTCTCTTTTCGAGGAAGGCCTTGTTGCGGTGAAAATTCGAGTCAGTTTCTCAGCAACACGCCAAAGTGGGAACACATGAAATAAAACGATATCCCTTTGAGCAAATCATTCCAATAGGTGTAAAGTAATTGTAATTCAAGTTCTAGAAAAACCACCACACGGAGAATAGCCAAGGGAAAAGCGAAACGAAAGACTCGCATGGTGTGTGGCGAAGGCGTTAGCTTCCGGAATAGGTAATAGCGTGTTCGTTCCCCACCGTAGACACCAGTGGTCCGGAGTTTTGCAAATATCTCAGCGTCATTGTAGTTGTATGAAACATGGGAATTAATCAGGCAAACAACGATCTTTAAATTGAATACAGCATCAGAAAATAAAAACTGATGAGCGCAATTAAATAATAAAGCAGATAACTATCGCAAATGATGTGTTTGTCAAATTTTCTAGTGGGAATGAGCTAAACGTTAAAAATATTTTAAAACATAAGTCTTGCACTCGACAGAAAACAATTTCCGTTTAACTATGATGATATTTAAATTTCACGCTCGCGATAATATGTGCTTGTTTCAATACTTTGATATTCGTAAATGATTGGTTTGAGTATGCAGATTACTAGCAGTAAGATACAAGTCCCCCACACTGTATAATGATTAAACCCCAAAAATTCCTCAAGGTCTAACACCGCTGCTGTCTCGCTATTGTCGATGTCTAAATGGATTTCCGCGCAAGTGTGGCGCAGTGGTCGGAGGCACCCTGCAATACACATAGGATCGATCCCCGCACCCTATGCTCACCAAACCTTCCGACCCTCCGGGATACCAGACTTGTCTGGGAGGATAGCGACACTGGCTCGATACATGGGTAGGCACCGCAAACCATTGTAAAGGTTACATATGCATTCAATCGCCTCCAAATGATGCTTAACAAAGTCGAATGCATGGCGTATCCCTAAGGGATTGATCAATCCCCAAAGCTTCATACTTTTAAAAGGATTCCCACATTTAAAAGATATACTCTTTTTCCCACTTAAATAAACCAGGCTAACAATCAACTGTTTTTCTTCGATACGCAAACAAAGTTGATACTATGGAATTTACAGCAGCTGACGTTTCTGTGGTTCCGCCTTCTTCACAGCCGTCACCTCGCCCAAGTATTACTCCGTGCGGCTGCTCTCCAAAAATTAATTGGAATACAGTCTAACAATTTTCGTTCGCTCATACACACTGTATGCAGATACCACATAAGCATTAACACCTCACTGCCAATACCAACTTCACTTCCGTGTTGAGGTTATAAAAAACTCGAATATTGTTAAACGAATATAGAGCAATAAGTTTTTAGGAAAAATGTAGCATTAACAAGCAAGTGAATCAACGATTGAAAACGGTCCAAAAAGTTACCCCACAAGAGCACTGCACTGCATTTTCGGCCTCGAAACAACGGCATCCGTTATCGAGCTTTCGTTCTTAAGTATATAATGATAAGAAATATGTATGCAAATACATGTCCATTTATAATTAAAAATAGTTGCTAAGTAAAAATATACCAAGAAAGTTGACGTATGAAAAGCCGAGTCGTGAATAGATAATGAAAAGGAGCACGACACTGTGAAGGCAATGGTGACAAAGACCTGACCTCCAAGTGCTGCTGGTGATAGAAACCGAAGGGCTGTGGCAGCACTCTCACTTCGGGTCAAATGCAGTCCAGAGTTGAGGTTTTCGGGATTCACTAAGAAGATGTGGAATAGAAAACAAAGTACAAGTGCTTTAGGATTTGGTGATAATCACCATATTAATTTATAATATTCGCAAACGATGGCCTAAGCAAATATCTTGTAGAGAGAAGCTGTTCGTTTCCGTAAAGCCATTGTAACTCACGAAAATAAGAGGCCACATGACGCAAATTGGTAGATAAGAAAAAAACATTCTACAATCGTTTGAACTCACACAACGACGCATTCAGAGGGCGTTCGGGGTTCTCATCCATTCTAATAGATGGCTTCATTGAATTTACAGATCTCGGCGGCTTGAACTCATTTAGAATCATCCGTCTACATAGGAACACACATTTGACATTCTACAGCACAAAGACAAATAACATAAATAAAGAAATCCAGAACGACACACCTCAGAATTTCTCCGTGCTCCAGTACCCGGTCTTTATTTCTAAAACGATCAACGCCAAGAGACTCCAATAACCAAACACATGTAAGAGCAAAATGGTAGCTTTCCCTGCACCTGAACTATGCCGTAGACTGTGAGTTGAGAACTACTTTAAAATCCAACGGTAGAGACAGTGAGTCACAGAGATAAGTGTTTCGAACACAAAACTAGAAAGTGTCCAGTTAACAATTAACCTGGCTTCGATATATTGGTGAATTGCATTCGCAACATCTTTGTCATTAATATACATGTAAATCAGTTGTGGTACGAAGAAATCTATGTCAGAAGGACTGAACGAGAACAGCTTCTTTCCTGGAGAAAACAGAGTTCTTAAGACTTTTAGAAGACAATGAAAAAAGAAAGACTTGCCTAAATACTGCTTCACTCCTCGTTCGGAGCTCGAAAAGAGATATTTCACAGCTATAGCGGGCGAAAAATGACACGATTCAAAAAGCCGCATAAGTAAACTCGGGGGCTCCGTAAGTGGACGCTAAAAACACTTCTGCTACCCATCTCTTTATTATCAAAACAAAAGAAAAGCTAGCTATCTTTCTACCGTTATTTCAATTGAACTGCCTCCGTGTTCAAGTCGAGTACTTGTGTGCTCAGTCTTCGTTTTGGCAGGAATGTTTGCTTCGTCAGTTTCCTAGACGAGCATGAATGTCACTAATCTTCTAACAACTCTGGTTTTGTGAAAAGCGGCGATTACAAAAAAACTGTCCGTTACTATGTACACTTACTTGGATACTTGGATGGCCCGTCTTCACTGGCTGTGCAGACACCAGCACAATTTCCACTTATTCGTAGTTTTACTGGTTTAGCCACTGTGGTTCCCCGGAGTCCCGAGGTCAGTTTAGTCAAAGCCTGCCTCAGGTCGCTACCTCCACATGCAGTCGCCGTCCTTGTGGATCAGAGGGAGATTTGCCACCACGCAACTAGTTTAATACCAAGACGGTAGCAGATCCTGGTATTGGTTCACTCTTAGTTGGGATTCCTGATGGAAACGCCGAACTCCTCAGCATGGGAGATCCTGGGGAGGAATGGATCCCCCGCCGTACATCGCAGTCTGACATCCAGGAACACCTCCTAGCCACAATGAGACGGTGAGTCGCTGGGAGGGTTACAATATATGGGATTTACAAATATAAAACAAAGCCTGCAGTAGCAGCTAAACTTATTACCACTGACCATATCAAAGTTCCGTGATTGAACGGTTGATACAGGCGATTTCGAAAAAAACTGGAAAAAACGAAGTACTTTTAAATCTGAACCTTGAAAAAACTCTACGTGTTTATTACTGCACGATCTAAATTAAATGAGTTAACCTAAGAATTGGACTGTAACTCACAACAAATTCTCCATCTGTCACGGGACAAAGTTGTCGATTTGAAGAGAAGTGCCTACAATAAACGTTAGTGTAAAAAGCCTACTAAGAAAGGGTGAACCTACTCGACACTGAATTCTTCAGCCTTGTCGAGCCATTCCACAAATGCTCTTTTCGCCGACCTTCCAGTTTAGAACTCGAGCAACCCCGACTTAATGCACACCTGAAAGAAGTCGAAACACTGGCCAAATGTTAACTAGTCAAAAGCAGAGATTCGGAGAAAACAGCACGCAATACAAGCCAGAGACAGGATATTTACACTTAGGAGACGATAAAAACCAAGTAAACATACTAGATTTAAGGTAGTAGTTATTCTATGAAAATGATTCGAAAAATACTAGTCTACTCACAACAAAGCTCTGAGGAAGGCAAAATCGCCGAAATGTCAGCACACGAAAAAAACCGACCAACAACAACGACAACTTATACCAACCTCGTACCAGCTCAAAAAGACCTCTTTATAGGTCAAAATAATAATTAAACTACATATTTGAGCATGCAGAAACGGGATGTCAACGATTCACCAGTAGTGCAAAAGGTGGCAAGTTCACTGAGAAACGTAATTTCGTGTAACCGAAAAGAACTGGGATATTCTCTGAGACAAAACTAAGTTCACAACGCAATAATTTCAATAAATGAACCAGCAGATTTAAGCCCAGCAATGAGTTTTCATACAACAAAAGCAGTAAAGAGGAAAAAACATGCTCCAACACTAATGAATGACCTACAGACAGTTCCACTGTGCGCTTTGATTTGCGTTGGACTTGATTTCGTACCAGTGTGGTTCGTTACCGCATCGTTTAAGTAAATGCTTAACATGAAAATTTAAGAGTTGAGACTTCTGTCTCTCTTTTTTTAAAATCTTGTGATTCTAAACTTTCCTGAGAGAAAACAACTCAAAGGATGGGTGCGAGTAATACTTGGTGGTATTCGTTGGTAATTTTTCATAAATTCTTTTTTATTTTGCATGACCCTTCATCACTTCTACTGTGCGAATTCCAGAGCTTGTAGCATTCGATTCGTTTTTCTCCCACTCATCCTCCATGGTGGTCTCCGAACATATCGCTGGTTGTTTCGGCTGCTTCTTGAGGATCTCATCTTCTTTATGAATGTCGTAGAATGCTGGTTGATTCTCTCAGCTGTCTTGGAGATAGCGCAGCATAGGCGTTCCAACGTGAATTAGAGGAGAACGTTGAGTTGGTGTTAGGGTCCAACGAAAACCTTGCTTCCTGATCGACAACACGCCAACCACTGCGCTATCACCTCGCTGTTATGTTCCACATCAATGTGCATAGCATGCGTCATTTCTTTTTAGAAAAGTAACCTGTAAACACTTTTGAAAGTTACTATTTCCAGAATTTCCTCGTTTACTCTACAACGAAAACTTGATTTAACAGTCGAATTCCAGAAACGTTACCTCTTCAAGTCGGTAGAAACATTGAGTTTGATGCCTAGTGCAATAATATGGCCCTCTTTCGCTGTTTTTTAAGCACAAAAAATCTGTAAAAATTATCTTAACAGCTTCATTCTGAGCGAGTACGAAAACGCAGCTGCTTCATTCACATCAGAATAATCGCTAGTTAACCGCTTAAAAGAATGTAGAATATATTTCACAACATACCCTGCCATTAAGAAGAAAAAAAAAGGCAGTAAATAAAAGAGTTAAGAATGTAGAATATTTAATACCGTAAAAAATACACTTTATTGATATTAAACTAAGAAATTAGCTCCTGTATTCGTTTTTGATCTGTACTTTCCTGCTTCCCTCCCAATGTTTTACCCCCTCATCGCGGCTGAGAGGCGTTCCTGGGTGCCATGATGTGATGTGCAGTGGGGAATTCATCCCCCCAGTAGGGTAGGGTCTCTCTAGCTGAGAACGAGTCCGACTTTTCCATCAGGAAGCCTAGCTAAGAGTAAACCAGTACCAGGATCGACCACCATACTGGTATCAGACTAGTCCCATGGTAGCGAATTTCCCTCTAATCCACAAGGGCTGCGACTGCCTGTGGAGGTAGCGATCTGAAGCAGGCCTTGGCTAAACTGACCTCGGGGTTCCAAGGAACCACAATGGCTAAACCAGCAAAACTCCGAGAAAGTGGATATTATGCTGGGGTCCGCAGAGCTAATGAGGGCGGGCTATCCAAGTGTCCAAGTAAGTAAGTAAGTTTCTTGCTTCGTCGCAGTGAAGGATTGTTTCTAAACGTAGAACTGTAAATGATCAATGGAGTTCTACACGCATTAGCACGATCGTTTAACCTAAAATCGAGTTCGATGTTTCTATCCGGACACCTATCTAACAGTTAAAAAGTGCGGGATTGGCCTTTAGCATCATATGGCGATGAGTTAGGAATGCTCCAACATGTTTTATCTATTCTAGAACTTCATCAAGTAGGGTTTTCGAAGCATTAAAACACCAAATGCCATTAATTCAAATATTAAACTGTAATTTTTGTAACTCCAGGCATTGAGATACCCAGAAATGGTCGTTAAAACCTAGAATTCCGTCAATTTCATCGGACCTGAGTTGAAAGTGCATGGCCTCCATTTGCGATGGGGATTCCTCTGCTAAATCATGTAAGTCTCACTAAATGTTGAGCGTTACGATCTTATTAAAGCCTCAAGTTGCACATTATGCATCCTTACCATAATCCTCCTTTACTACGTTCCTTATGGCGCATGTAATGCAGTGGTTAGAGGTGCCTTGCAATATACATATGGACATTGGTTCGACACTACACCACGGACTCCCGTGTGAAGGACCTGGAGCGGCTAATTGTGAGGCAATGGGGCACTTGTTCAGATGACGGATAAAGGGTTTAGAAGCTGTATTTATGAGTATTATATTTTGGACATAAAACAGGCATAGGACCGGATGGCAGTGGTAGTGATACCGATCATCACGAGCATGGTGTTGGCTCGATCCCGCCCTGGCTCACCAAGCCTCTCATCCCTTAGGGGTCGGGAAATTGGCATCTGATTCTCTTCGGGAAAAATCTCTGTGCGATTCAAATGGGAAAGCTCCAGTCCGGGTATCTCAGAACTCCAGGAAAAATCAGCTCCGTCAGCATCCTACGGCATTCAAAATAGAACGAAAAACTCTCTAGCAATACCCGAAGCCAAGCGTGAAAATTGGAAGAGCTTTGTGGACTATGGATAAGAGGAAACGGATCTAGTGTGAAAAGTGCTGGGATGCGCACAGTAGACGTGAAGAAGGGTCGTATAAAACAAAAGGAATAAAATAAAAATAATTTACAAGTAATAGTTTGAATATTTTTGGATACAAATTTCTAGCACACATGTTAATTGAGACAAAGGTTTTAGTTAAAAGTTTCGGAAACGTTAAGAAGGCGTTTCGTGGTGGTCTTCAACAAATAAGCTCCACAAAGGCATGTATTCCTACTTACTATGTCAAAACCCATCAAACCATTTGTGGATATCTATCTGAGAAATATTAATATTAAACGGCCTCACTTCTTCAATAACTGTGACAACCAAACAGCTCCGAATTGGTAGTGTTGCATGGAACATTTGCCAAAAGGTTACTATAATATCCGGACCTCCGACTGCAAAAAATATTACAGGGTTGGTATACGTACTTGTTATGCAAGCATGCTGGCACCAGAAATCCATTGAAGGCCTGATAATACAAGCTAAGAAGGTCGAGAGCATCGCCATTCGACGGAGTGGTACAAGAAGACCATCTTCACAAAGTGCAGTTTACAATACTAGGAATAAATCGTTGCTGTGGGCATGTGTTAGTAGAATAGTTGGAGTTGTCTAATCCTCGTGGACTTAGCTATCCACGGATCTTCCTCACAGAGGAATTTCATGCCGCTTAGTGACGTAGCAGTGTAGCGTGTCCCTAGATGGCTGACATTGGGTTAATCAAGATCCAAAAGCGACTTTATACTTTCCCGAGTCACTGCTGTATCCAAGAGGTAGACCATCTGTTTCATCTGCTCCGATTTGACACATATCATTATTTGCGAAGACATATTCATGCGTAGTTGTGTGGGTTTGTTCTCAGCAGACTGTATTCTAAGAGTCAGTCGCGCCAAAAGCCTGAATTGAGGTAACTGCGAAGCACATGG